ACACGAAAAAATCGTCTATTTGATTTTTATATGTGACTATATATAGATTTGATTTACATAGTACATTGGACACCACAACTTTACGTCAAAATTTGTGTCGTTGAACAATGTATAAATTTTGTGGAAATTTTACCCATTGTTAAATATGTGAATTTATAAATAGTTGAATTCGTAACATGTATCACGTGTATTTTGTAGTTTCTTTGTTTATGCACAATCCGCCATTTGTTGGGGCTTGGGTAAGATTAACTAATTATCGTTATATTATAATAGTCATTATAAAATAAAAATATAATTTTAAAATACTTTTGCCAAAAAAAAAGCTTGTGAAATGGAATGATTGTTGGAAGTGTATACGGGGTCCACCCCGTTTTATTTTTTTTCTATTAAAATGACAGATTTTCCCACCGTTTTTTTTTTTAAAAAACTATTTCGCCTGTTCTCAAAAAATTGTTCTTTATTAGTTATTATGTCCGTTAAATTGTTCATCGGTGGTTTGTCATGGGGAACTGACGACCATTCTCTTAGGACGAGGTTTGAAGATTATGGCAACGTTGAGGATGCCGTTGTCATTCGCGATCGTGACACTGGTGAGTGTGTTATCATGGCTTATAATTGCTAGGTGTCCTTACTTGTTATATGAAAATATTTTGGTTCTCTTTTTGTTGTTCGTTCTTTTTTTGGGCAACCTTGTTACCTTCGCGAGACTTCCAAACAAATTTTGTCGGGAACCATCTCACTGCGAATATAAAGGATGCTAACCTTTCTGTCTGCTATCTTCCCTTTCCCCTTACCCTCATGTGTTTGTTTTGTGTGACATGTCAATAGGGGTGTTACTATAAGTGTGTGTGTATATGTGTAACATGTCCCAATAATTCAATCTATTGTGTCTCTTTATCCTTTATTATTATGTTCGTTTGCTCGTTTGCTTATCAAGGTCGTAGCCGTGGTTTCGGTTTCGTAACTTTTTCAAAGTAAGTATATTTTATTCTATTTTCAATTTCAAATTTATCAATTACTGAAGTCTACAATAATTATTAGTGATGAAGAAGCTGAAGCCGCGGTCCAAAATATGAATGACCAAGAATTCGACGGACGAACTATTAAGGGTATATATTTACTCATTTTCAAATAAAATATTATTAATATTTGAACATTTAACTAAAGTTTCATTATATGGATAGTTGACCGTGCTTCAGAACGTTCTTCGTCCTCCTCTTCACGATCTGGTGGTAACAGCTACAATGGTGGAGGTGGTGGATATGGAGGTGGCGGATATGGAGGTGGTAGTTATCGAGGAGGTCGTGGACGCGGCGGAGGTTACGGCGGCGGCAGTCGCGGATATAACAATCGTTATTAAATCTCGTAATACTCTTGAATCAGATATTCATCATGCACATGTGATGTATTATTTGTTCACGAACACTATCTAATAATGGTGTTTTTTTTCTTTTTGCCTGCTATGTTTTATCCCATTTATAATTATTATCAATTTTTTTCTTGTTCTTGAATGTCAGAGTGTCCATCTTAACGAAATGTTTCGTAACCTTAAAATTTTCTGCTCTCGATTTCTATTTGACTCATTACACGATCAAATTCAAAACTTTTTCTCTGTAATCTGTACAATTCACCTGTGCATGTGCCCTGGTTAATGACTTTTAATGTTGGCTCCCTTACATTTTTTTCATCCTTTTGATATGGAAATGACAGATGATCGGTTCGTTTTGCTATTTGGCTAGGTTTACGATTTTCCTGTGTCCCCTTTTTTTCCTTAAAAGAAAAAAAAACTTGTATTTTTCTTAGTGCTTTGTACTTTTGTGTTCCATTTTTACAATTTGTACATAATAGATGTGACGTTCTTATAAAAAAAAATTATTTTTGTTAAATAAATCATTTAGGTGCTACCCAAATTTTGTAAAATATATGGAATTGAATAATCAAGTTTTGATGCTCGGTTATTGTGCTGCATCATTTAAATGGGTTTGTAATTGTAGTGACTGGTTATTTCTAGCATCCAAAATAGCACTAGCGATGCAAGAAAACAATCAAATTAAAATTCGATAATTTTTTATTATAGAATTGAACACTTTTGTAATTGATTAAGTCATGCTTATATTTATGTTAGTATTACATATAACAATTGCCTGAAGTTGAGGACGTTCGATTTTGAGTAAAAATATTAAAAGTACTTCATAACCGGCGAACAATCCGGTTCCGAATTCTATCCAAGTCTGTCCTTGGTTTATAACTTAATAATATTAACTTTTTAATATATATATTTTCAAATAAAACTTTCTGAATATGCTTACAATGATTTATGGGTTATAACCAGTGTCTGAAATTGTCTGCGAACCGCAACAAAGTTTTAAATTTCCGCAACCAAAATCCGAAGTACGCATGCAGATTCCGCATATAAATTTGCAAATTTTACCTATAAAATTCGATTAAATGTTCATGTGCGCAACTAAATTTTTTTAAATTTTATAATCCGCAAGTCGTTTTTTTTTAATTGGTTGCAGCCCGCAACTAATTTAAAAATTGAATTTCAGACACTGATTATAACGATAAATATACGTGAAATTATTTTAAATTTTGATATTCTAACAAATATATTATAACCTCAAGTTACAAATTCTTTAGATTGGATCCCACAGCCTAGATTTTAAACCTTATCGAGCACTTATAAGATCCAGAGTATTATCTTATACCAGGAACAGAGTGATGCATATCACGAAGTGTAGGGTTATACGGATGGTTAAGTGGTGTTTGTCCGCAAATCTTAATTTTGATTGGTCCACATGACTTATTCGTCAAATTTTGTCTATTTTTCACACATGGATTCGTCACACTGTTATTTTTCATATTTTTCATATTAATTCGTCACGCGTTCTTATATGGTATAGATCATCATATAAGTGCAAGTACATATTTATAATTAAAATACAAAGAGCTAGCGAACATGAGAAATATCACAATTGCAATAACTGACGACACAAAAATCGGTAACCCGATGCAAATTGATTTGTCTAATTATATAATAATTGGCATTTTTCTTTTTTTTTGTAGGATTTTTTATTGGGTTGATTAAATGATAATCAATGATCATCAAAGATGATAGCGAAATAAATTTTCAGATACTTAGATCACACAATAATACCAGGAACGTTAACAGCACCAGGATGTAGGTCAGATTTTCTGAACACATGATGATCTACAGCAAATTATCCAATGAATAATTGCGATTTGGTGATGTAACATGATCAGAAAAATTCAAAACAAACCATTTGCTTTGTCAAAAATTGCCTGTTTCTCAAAAAGAAGCATAAGAAACTACTTTTAGTGCTTTAACAAAAAGTTTTCCTTGAGCGATTTTACTATTAGAGCTTCTCTAACCCTAATCATAGCATAAACCCAACTCTAATCTAAATGAACTTAAAAGAATTTTCAGTTTACACGTGATCAGAAAATAAATCCTACATCCTGAATTCGTGAGAAACATTAGTGTATAGTTTTACTTGCATCTAAATCGAAGGCAAAATCTTAAAAGTACATTTTTCTTATAATCATTACCTGTTTTATATAATATAAGATTTCTAATTTTAGAGAAAGATTAGGGTGCTGACATTTATTACCTAATATTTTTTTACTATAGAGGCTTACCCCCACTCCCAGGTAAGATATTTAGCTAAATTTGATTTGCTATATTTGTTTTATATAAGGTAAGGTTTGCTTAACCCCACTCTCTAAAATATTATCTAATAAATGTCAGTACCCTTAAGGTGAAGTGAAATTTAGTTAGGGTCAGGGGTATCTTCTTGATTCAAGTTAGAAGGTTTATATATTTATATATCAAGCATGCAGCAGTTTATATAGCATCTAGATGATATATTAATTAACTCCTATTCTAACCCAACCCAATTATTTCATATTAAAACTTATTGTAAATTGGTCATAAGATGCAAAAATTCAGCCTTCCTTAGTAAATGATTGGCTTATATACCACATAGTGGCATATATAAGTCAATCATTTAGTAATATTCTGATGTTATTTGTAATGATTCATTATTACAATCAATGGCTTGCCATTTAAAGTAAAATTATTTTTAGTATTTGATTATTAAAAAATAATTCATAATAATATATCAGTACAATACCTTAACCATAGCGAAAAATCAGCAAATTACATGCTTTAGATCACCAATTTCTATTAGATATAGCTCCTAACATTTTTAAAAATTTTAGAAATTTTGATTGAAGTATCTTGGCATCCACCTAACCAATTTCAATAAAATTTTTCTTTTATTCTACAGCTTTGTGGAATTTAAAAAATAATATTTTATTACCAAAGTTAGTTAGGTGGGTGCCAAGATGTCTTCAATCAAACTTTTAAAATTTGCTGTAATTTCTAATATTTTTAAAAATTTAGAAATTTTGATCGAAGATATTATAAATCTACCTAACTAAATTCAATAATTTATTTATCAAAATTTGGTAGGTGGTGCCAGAATATTTTTGATCAAAGTTTGAATGTTTGCTGCAGTTTCTAATATTTTTAAAAATTTTAGAAATTTTGATTTAAGATAGCTTGGCATATACCTGACCAATTTAATAGAATTAAGAAAATAATATTTTTATCAAAATTGGTTAGGTGAGTGTTGGGATATCTTTGATCAAAGTTTAAATCTTTGCTGCAGCTTCTAATATTTTTAAAAATTTTAGGAACTTTGATCAAATATATCTAGGCATTTATTTGACCAATTTCAATAAAGTTTTTTTTTAATTATATAGATTGTAGAATTAAGAAAATAATATTTTTATCAAATTGGTTAGGTAGATAGCAGTATATCTTCAATCAAAGTTTAGATTATTGATCAATCTTTGCTGCAGTTTCTAATATTTTTAAATTTTAAAAACTTTGATTTAAGATATCTTGGCATCTATCTGACCAATTTCAATAAATTTTTTTTTTTGATTCTACAGTTTTGTATAATTAGAAAAATAATATTTCAACAAAATTGGTTAGGTGAGTGCCAGTGTATATTCAATTAAAGTTTAGATCTTTGATCAATCTTTGCTGCAGTTTCTAATATTTTTAAAATTTTAAAAACTTTGATCAAAAATATCTTAGCACCCACTTGATCAATTTTGATAAAGATTTTTTTTTGATCCTATATTTTTGTAGAATTAAGAAAATGATATTTTTTTCAAAATTGATTAGGTGGGTGCTAGGGTATCTTTGATCAAAGTTTTAATCTTTGATTAATAGCTTCTAATATTTTTAAAAACTTCTGAAATTTTGATTGAAGATATCTTGGTACACATCTAACTAATTTTGATAAAGATTTTTTTTTCAATTGAATAGCACTATAGAATAAAATAATAATATTTTATTGAAATTGATTAAGTGAATGCCAACATACCTTCAACCAAAGTTCTAAACAAATCTTGCTATTTTTAAAAATTTTAGAAGCTTTAATCAAAGATATTCTGGCATGCACCTAACCAATTTCGATAAAAATAATATTTTCTTAATTCTACAGAACTGTAAAATCAAAAGAAAAAAATTAAAATTGGTCAGGTAGATGCCAAAATATCTTCAATCAAAGTTTCTAAAATTTTAAAAAATCTGAGGACCAATTAACTAACTCTTTCTGACAATCACTTGTACCAAATTTAACTAAAACAAAAATTCATTTTTCTTTTAATTTTATTAACTAAAGTTATCTTTTCTAAATAATAAAACTTGTTCCTAAAGCCAAATTATATATAGCTCTCAATTTTTACAACCTTCAGGTTGTTTCTTAATTAAATATATAATATTCGCTCTAAATAGATACACTGCTTTCTATCTCAAATTTAGCTAAGGAAA